GTGTTCAGTGAACTGTAAGCAGTCATGAAGTATCATAGTTATGATTCTTGTCACCGGGAGTGTTGTTATGTGAGTTTCGGAGTGACAATAAACTGATCATTTTACAGTCAATAAAGTGTTCGTGATATTTCACTCACTTGGTTTATTTCTAAATCTTTGTATACAATGATCACCTCAGATATTCGATAAAATACTCTGGAATGCTGATGTCAATCATCACTTCTCAAAGAGATCGCATTCATCTTTGAATTTAATGTGTAATAATAGTAGTAGAAGTAGTACGCAGAAGAAAAATTATACCTGATATTGATTGTAACTAGCATATTGTGATTTTACGTGGTTGCAGATTCCATTACCGCTATCTTTAGTTAATATGTGAGAATTTCGGTACAAATATCCTGTTGTCGTCCGAGATATTATACAGTTCTAATCCACTCTGAAACTAGTCGTCCAGGAGTTTGAATGGAAAGTGATCGGTCTAGTGTGAGAATGAGTGATTAATTGATGAAAGTGAATGGCAGTGGCAGTGGTATACCGAGAAATGACATTCATGAACTCTAGTAACATATTCACCGTGTGACATTAAATTGCACAACTGCATTCCTAATATGTCGGTTTGTGCACATCAATGAGGATGCTATAATTGTTTGTAATAGTAGTATTTTGCAATGACCAAATTTCAGGAAGTCAACCTACAACACAGAGAGGGATGAATTCAGGAATTTGTATTTGGCGAAATTGTTTGTAATTCATATAATAAGTATTAACAAACAACAGTTAGTATTTAAACAACACAGTGATGGATGTCGTGAATGACCACCACAGAGGAGTCCCACTAGTAGGGTGTCGCTTCATGACGGGATCTCCACAAATCTGACATCTGAATAAATTATTACAGTGTGCACTTCGACCATACAATAACATCTACACTTTTCATACTTCGCCTGACATAGACAATTAATGATACAACTATGATGATTATTGAGAAGCCTTTCTAGGTGAGAAACACTGACACATGTAGCTTACTTGTGATCCACGTCACTGTGAATTCATCTAAATCACTCAGACCATATTGATTGCACATATTTTCAATGACCTTCATCAAACCTGATATTTATTTTTGTATGTTATTCAGAAAATAGAATTAGTCTAGTATAGCTTCAAAGTTGAACAGCATGATGAATGATTCATCAACAAGAAGTAGAACAAACAAGTCAATACTTTCTGAACTGTGAAGATGAAGATATTTCATAGCAAAGAAGTAGACTTATTAGGTGGAAGAAATTGTTTGTGTGCTTTGGAATATTTCAGTCTATATTAAGCAACATTGATATATGAGTGCAAGTAAAACAGTATCATTTAATATCCACACACATTATTATTATTATTATTATAAAAAAATATGAAGTAATCTGCAATGTGTGGTATTCAAAGTCACTTACAACACTGGTTTAAAGTACTATCACATCTATTGAGAAATGTCTACTTTCTCAATGACTGAAGGATGCACTCAGTAGGGATGGATGAGATTATTTGCAAAGTCTTCATTCAGTACAGAGAGAATGAAGTCTATTCACTTCACACATATTTACAGTCTTCAAGTGGAAAAGTGAATAAAGTCAGTTCACTTGTAATTAACGAAATGTATAACATTCCATCAATGAATTTCTACTGCCGCTTTCCTCTACGGTTAAGTAGTTCATCGTTTCGACAGTGACTTCCAGAAGAGTATGGATGCTTGTCCATGATGAATGTGAGCATGTTTCTGGTGAATATCATTTGCGTCTGTGTTAAGATAATTCAAATAAACTTCACGAGTGATATATCGTTATGGTTATGTATTGAAAATCACAGAGGGAGATCACTAAATTTGCTGAACCTCAACGTTTTCACCAGAACTTATTGTCAGCGATACTTGAACTGGTTCACAACTAATACTCACCCATCTGTCGAAGTACTTCATCAGTGGGGCTTCAAAGTCACTTATAAACTATTCCTAATGGCATGTTTCTTTCATCATCTCACGAAGTGAATATCCGTGACTTTCAGTTCGCTAAGAAGAGTTTCTTCAATCAATGACTTGCTTTGTTTTCAATTCATGCATAGCCAGTAACTGACTGATCATGAACATCGAAAGTTCAATGAATCAGTTTGTAAGTAACATAAGCAGTCATTACTAAGATATGGTAATTTACGAAATTGTGAATGTCCAATTTTCGATAACGAAATGACTAGATGATTGTTTCTGCGAAAACACTACCACAACTGCCACACTACCAGGCCTTTCATCTCTAGATATTCATCCAGCTTTCATGACAGTTATTTATGTCGTCCAAGGAATCATTCTGTAAATATATTTATGCATGGTATTTCATAAGATTCGAGGAGAAGAATGATTACCACTCGCCTTCAAGATATCCAGGTATATTCAGTCGTTTTCAATGGTACGGTCATGCATAATAATAACCCAGTCTTCTCAATTGATTCAAGTGTGATATTTCAAATGGAGTGAGAGTTGACAAATCATGGTTATCGGAAAATGGAATCCCGATGTGACCGTCGATGCAACTGTTAGATTTGCGAGACTACTGTTAGAATAAAATCATTATTTCCAACGACAACCACGATACCACTGATACAGGAAGCAAGAAATGAAGAAGACAGACCGTTGAATAGAGAGATTTCACCGTCTCGTGTCGACTAGCAATAATGATAATACCACATAATATAGAGATACAGAGTGGTTGAAGAAGATAGAAATCAGTCAACAGACTACATATCGATCCGATACCACTTAGTAGCAGGCATTATCTAAAACAGGGAAAATCAGTTGAGATGTTTAATATAGATGTTCATATTGACAAGGAATTACGCGCATCTAACAACACTACACCAGGTGGGGTATATAACAAACACATGACTTATTTCATTCAGAAATCAGCATCACACGTGTCTATTTGGCTTCTTATTTCAGTGTGGTTAATATTCCTTTCAGATATCTAAATTTATTATGAGTAAGTTATTGAAATTCTGTCGCTGTATATACTGTTCAACCTCTGCTTATTTTTGTTTACCATCTTCTCGTGCATATGTCAACTGAAACACTCCGTTTTCAGTGGAATGTTGTTTTCAACTAACAAAATATGAGGTGACTTTTGCTTGGATCTCTTCCGCTTCAAATTTTCCAATTAGCCATTGAAATCATCTTGTTCTATATCAGTGTGAATACAAAGCACTTCGTGATCTCACATTCCTCCACTTGTACAACAATGATGTAATAATTTGTAGCACACACTGATTTCTCCTCACTTTGGTGTGTAATTTTTATCTATTCAACGAAAACAGAAATTATGGTGTGCAGTATTGTTTAGAATGAGATGTTGAGTGTTGAGTGTGGCTGTATTGACGGTGGTGCAGCTGCAGTTGACGAACTTGCATATTGTCTCCGTTTTCTCACTTGATCTGTAGAGCTGACAATTTCATGCTGATGTACAATATATGTTGCTTCAATCCCTAAACTATTTGTGTCTCACTGTGACTGACATTATGTTACATTCAAGCGGTAATTTGTACTGAAATCTACAAACCGTGAGATACTTTCTTTCAGCTATTTCGCAGCTTTTCAAATGTTCATCAGACCAGTAGCTCACATTGTAATGTAACCAGTAGCAATGGTATGAATAGGATATTTACTAGTAATGATTGCATTGTTTCTACTGAATATGGCGGCACTTATGAGCACGTAAATTTAGAATCGAAAGGTAATCTATGAAAGAACCTCTCGACCACCTACTACCCAACAAATATACACATAAAAATAGAGATGGATTCATCATGCAGCTACAAGAACGTTGACTGACATCACACTCTAGACTCTCGAGTGAGAACCTGAATAGTAAATGATGAGTTGTATGTCTGAGTGTGATGTGGAAGAAATCTTGTGAGGACGAGAAAAAGGCAGTTGTGATATCAAGCGAGAAAGCCTGCAGCCATCATTGTGAGGTGGTGATACACATCTGGAGCCCTACATCACACTCAGAATCCAAGTCAATAATGATAAGCAGTGACTGTTTGTCTACAAAATCCAATGTTCATTTCAGACGATGCATTGTTGAGTGATGCGGATCAATTTCTATGTAGAATTTGCTATCAACCAACATCAGTTATAGACACACTAGACACCAGAAACCACTCAGTGGATATGTTGTCCTAGTCTGAATGTCTTCAGATATGAATACTTCTGATCGATTCTCTAACTGACGTTGATTTGTGGAGAGACCTACACTGAGATTGATCTGCATGTGCTTCTCGAAACTACATCAGTGTGAAGACTCGTTCACGTGACCCTTTGGATGAAGTGGAGAATGGTCAGTGAACCAAGTAAACTTCAACGTCTACCGACGATGATTTATACACGCTCAACGAGATTCACTCGTTATTTACAAGAAGTGACCACCGATAATCACCAAAAGTGGTAAACTTCTCACCACATTTTCAAACCGCTTGTTTCGAAAGTCACTTTCACAGATTCACATACTGTAATTATGCTCATGCAGGTTTCACTGATGGGATGCTTTTGGAAAACGCAGCATTTCTATCTGGTCATCACACACTCTCATCAACACCTGCTCACTTGGATAATGAGGGTGAAGCGGCCTGTCATTTTGCAATCATTGTGCAATAAGGAAACACACACGAAGCAGCTCACCAACCAACAACATACCGCCCAATAAACTATGCAGAAGCAAATGCAGACGGATTAGATATCTACTGAGGAAACACTGAAGTAACATCACACCACAGTCGGCCGTCAGCTGGAAACCAAATGGTGAGAGGCGCGTTGTTTGCGAGAGTGACATGGAGGAAATCGCATAACTTGAAAGTGAAAGCATGTGAGCAATCAGTAATGGGGCCAATCGAGATTGATGGGATGGAGATGTGTCGCTGAAATTCCATCTCCCACTCAGATATCGAGAAATGAATAGCAAAAGTAAAAGTAGTTGATAGTTACAGGCTTTTATTATTTCGCATTCACACCTAAATATTTCAAACGTTAATTGTTACACAATAAATTAAAAGAGCATCATTTCAGAGGAAGTGAATGGTTACAGTGAAATTAATACCAACATTAAAAAAAAAATATTAATAATAGTCAAAGAATGTGTTTATTTTCAAGGTAAGAACTTGTCGCTCAACACTGTTTCCTCTCAAAAGTCATTTGGTGATGATAGGAAATAACAATTTCCAAGTGATGCAGTTATTCTGTAAAAATAAGCAGACACACATATTCATTTTAGAAAGAACGATGGAACAAATGCAAACAGTAATGGCAATGTAAATTAAAAAATTAATATTTGGAAGTCCGGATTTTGAGAATTCTTCACCAATGCGATTCAACTTACTGTACAATGAACTCTTCGTTGCATAGAGATAATGGATGAAGCATATGTGCTCGGTAGACTACTTCTCCTCGATTCAATATGCAACACGTTTCACTCTAACTGAGTGAGTGAAGTCCAAGAGATGCGCAAAATTATGGATTATATAATTTTATATTGCATTTAAAACTTTGTGGTTATATGATATTCAAATATCATAAGAGACACTGTTTTAACTGTGATGATGTTTTGTATTCAAGTGGAGGAGACCAATGATTGACATCGCGTGCATTGTTGGTCATCAGTGGAGTGATACCTGAATGGAAAGCGACGAGATAGTCGTCTGATGTTGACAATGAGAATATCGTGCGAGTTGGATGACTTGCGAGATAATGTTGAGTCGTGGAGCCAACTGAATAGGACAGCAGAGAACAGGACAGAGTCGAAATGTGCTGTTGAAGCCCTATGCCTTTACAATTGTAATCCAAACTGAATGGTCATTATTATTTCATTTTGTAATCGTAGCACAATACAGTTCCTCACATCAATCCGATTCACTTTGACTAGCAGGTATAGGTTAAAATCAATGGATTGATAAGTGAAAGGCGCGAAGAAGAAGAATTTATTGGAAGCACTTTACTGTTGGTTGTAATTATTCGTGTTTGAAGTAGGGAACAGGATGAGGCGACATTTCTAAAGCAATCGTCTTAGTTTAATTCGCTTCATACCACTCACCTGCTGGTATCATTTTCTCCAGTTCCTTTGATATCCCCATAAGTAATTTCCTTTCAACTGAAAAGATGCGTAAAAGAATTATTATCTTGTACAAATGACTGATTAGTATCATTACCTTTAAAACTGATGATGAATTGGCCACACGAGATTGTGACAAACATTTTTAAACGTTATGGACAAGAAGGAGTATTACATTGTGTAATTCATTACCACTACCCTTCATGTGTTCCTCTTTGTCTGGTCTCACGATTACCCATAAGATTTCATCTCCCCCATGTCACACTCGAACACTCAACTTGTCATTTTCCATTGGAAATTTCACTCGGGCGATGGCCTGGCGTGTCGTGTCACTCAACGGTCTCCTCAGGCTCACTTTACTCCTGTCTTCACCTAGATGGCCTCAAACAACTCTCACTTTTGCATCACCTCACATGTGCAGTAGTCACATATCTGTTGAATGAGTTTAGTGAAGGTTCGAGGCACTTCATCGTTTTGAAGCAGTTTTCACATCACTTCGCAGTCAGCGCTATGTAAGGTCTATTCGAATTCAATGAAGGTGAGATGAGATTCGACCGTCATCCTATGCTCTGTCCAATGGTGATGCCAACGGTTTACATTTCATTCGCGTATTATTTGCAATAGTCATTCTTTACCAAACATCAACTAACCTTGAAACTCATAAGCTCAGGGTTTCAATGTTCCAGCTTCAGAGCTAAGTATCACGAGGTCGATCTCGCATTAGCCAATGGGTACACAATTCTGATAAGTTTCAAACTTGAAAGGGACACTTTTCTATCTGCTCTTCATTCCATGTCATCCAGTGAATAAAATTACTTTGAGATAAATACATACTTCTTCTATTTTAAATAATTCTATTCACGAATAATAGATTGTTAATATGATTTATTCCCGGATTGTAGTATAAAACATTGTATCTGAATGTCACGTCATAGCATACTCTAAAATCATTTTATGTGTGTGTATTACTTACATGTGCTTTTGGCTTGTTCCGCGATTTGATAGTACAATCTGTGGATTTGATTACCCACAGGATGAGCTTCTGTGAAAAAGTTGGTTGAAAGTTTAATTCAAGTAAAACTGACTTGTTAGAATATACGGAAATCTCACACTGGCCTCAGGCTTTTATCAATAACTACATTCGCTCTGTACTGAAGGTTGGATGGTCGGCCAGAAAGTATGAGTAATGAGGAGCTCTAGGATGAATCCAGCTGAGAAGTTATCACCTCAAAAATGTGCAGAAGGAGATGGAGTGGAGTCAGCCAAAAAGGAAAGGCAGGGAACGGAGTGGAATTGAGATGTGCGACTGATGCCATATGTTCCACTCGGAATCTAAGGAAATAATAATTTCATAGGCGGAAGGGTAGTCATCAGATGTCATTCCTCTACTCAGCTGAAAAAAGAGTTCCCTTATCCTTCCAGCCACATGGTAGTATGTGATTTCTTTCAATGAAATCATCCTAATGCGATGAGAAGCAGAAACCTTTCTTAAAATACAGTCACACCTAAATCATTCCCTTGCGAAAGCAATCGTCACAAGCCATGATGACATCACCTTGCCGAAGAAGAGTGTCACAGAGAATGACTGTCAATTTGATTATCTGAATATGTGAAATACATAGTCACTGTGAGATCAGAGAATACTCTTCTTACCTAATTTATGACAGCGCTATGATATCTAACCTGTTCATAATAAACTGTCTTCAGAAACACTATTATTATTGATTTCAATTCTTTTTCATTGAGAGTGGAATAAACAGCTGTAAGCTCGATCTCTGAGAGCTTAGTAGTGCGTCGGCCAGTAAATGGACTCCAGACGATGTGCGTGGTTGGTAAGCATTGTAGCATCCAACCTCCGTCTCATCCTTATAACATTGCCAAGTGTTGGCAGTAAACCAAGTGTTTCAAACTCACTGTGAGTATGTTTCACCCACTTGTCTTCGAGAATATTCAACATTATCATTAGTCACTCCGCGTGAAACTTAGGCCATCAGTGTGTCACATACTCATTCCGCTCGATTCTCTTCCACGAATGTCAGCTGACTGAATGACTGATCAAAAGCTTTCTCCATCACATAATTTCCTCAATGTCACACTGGGACGATCGACTCGTTGCCCTCCATTCAGGTTAAACTCGAATGTGTTATGCGACCTGATTGACTTCTCAGCCTATGTGAAATCCATCTCCATTTCTCTCTGTAAATTTGCTGAGCAGCAAGTTGTTGCGTTATTGCCTGCCTTGTGGAGTCCCTTGTTGCTCTTTCCGGTCATGTTATCTCCACTATTGAGGCAGGTAATAGGCTATGTGATGATGGAGGTCTGAAGCGAGATGTTGTGAACACCTTTCGTGACGCGTGTGTCAAGCCTGTGGAGCATACAGAAACACTGACTTGACATTAGTGTTGCTAATTACTAACAGGTTCTGTGTTCTGAGTGCTGACTATTTCAGAGCAATGAAACCTGTGCTGTCTTCCTGATCCTCACTGCTTTTGGCATCCTCGTTCGTGTCGCCTTTAGTTAAGCGATGCTGACCGGGTGAATGAAAACAACAACTTTACTCATGTACTCACAATGATAATGGGGAAAAGGGGGTATTGCGTACTAGTGCTGTATTATTTGCTATGATTGGCGAGTATCTCTATCATTATTTCATCGAAGCGCAGTATCTATTTCTTAGTACAAAGCTATTTGATTCTAGCTTCAATTCACATGACATATATGATGATGAAAACAATGTTCAATGACATACCGCTAATAACGGCATACGAATTATCACGCGCACAACTATTCTGGTCATAAGTTTTGGCCATTTCTATTTTCATGAAACAGGAAAGAAATTCATAGTGAAAATATAATTGAACAAGAATGATATCAGTGAAGATAAATTGAAAACCTCGACTAAGGCAAGATTCGAACAGTGTGGCACTATTAAGTGTTGATGATGTTAACGCTGATGGCTCATTAACGCACATCTGAATGTATTCGAAGTAAATCACAGGAAAATTGGCTTCCCTATTTTATTCCTCTGCGTTTCAAGTTGAACATAAAGCGGCAAGCTATGAAGTTTCAGTAGTGATGGTATTGCTTTTACATGGTATCATCACTAGCACCTGGTACAAATTCTCCTCTTTTCCGGACTCACTATCGACTAGTATGCTAGACAAGGTTTAAGCACACGTTGTCCAGGAACTGAAACTGGGCCTTCAAATTGGCAGATGAGCACTCTCCCATCAAACAACTGAGGAGATATGAGTAACTTGGTATTGTTGTTCGCGTTGTAATTGTCATTACTGAACTCATTCAGAATTAATAAAGATACGCTTCAGTGTTGACGAAGCAGCCGTGTGTTTGATGACAACTTATCTTAACAGTAAAACAACCGAGGAGAATCACTGTGCAACAGTGAGTTAAATGTGTTTACACAGTAGTTAACACTCACCTTCATATTTCTTTGTCTTATTCTGAAAGCACTGCTTCATTTTCGCTATGTCAGCAGGAATAAATCCTGCAAATTGTACATTGAAAGAGAGGATGTATACAAAATCTCAGATATCAGAGTTTCATCAAGAAGCTTTCAAATGCTAACTGTGCATATAAATTGCTCCTAGTTAAGACTGACTCAATCATTAAGTAATGTAACACAAGTCTCATTCTCGGAATACAAATGCATTTCTTTAGAATTACAGTCACACTATACTGTGATAAGCATCAACAGTCAAGATATGCAGGATAAGAAGACATTTGCTCTTAATCTTTGCCTAACAAGATGGCTACCAATATGGCAGTGAAAGGGAATGAAAGTACGTAGATAAAAATGTTTACAGTACCGAAATTCTTCTCTTCTGTCTGAATAGTTTCCACCAGATCTGATATAGTTAAAATAAACATTCATGAAAATTAATGCAGCGTTATTGAAAAGTAGAGATACAATCATTTTATTTCAAGTGATTAAAGGACATGTGTACATCAGTGATCATTATTACATGAAGATGACATCGACATCGCTTGTGCGTGAAGTGAAAGTGATCAGTTAAATCAACATTGTGTATACAGAGACAATTTCCTCCCACCTGTATTGTTATCTTGACCGTGTTCATTCCTCATATTCAAAACTACAGCATCACAGTGCATATATCGGTTCACAATGATAAAGTTGGCTAACTTACTATCAGTGAAGTATATAATGACATTATTAGGCTAACGGAATGATTGACTGACACAAAACTTCATATCAGGTCTATGTAGTCCAACATTCAGAGAATTCACTGAAATCAAATCGAGTATCCTGAAGATCTTACTTTTCAGTGTTCATTGAAACATGGCACCTGTTAACTCAAAAAATCTTATAGGAGCACTCCGCCACCAAGTAAATTTCTAGCTCGAATCAATAAAGAAACGGTACATTTGCCATGATTTTCAAAAATTTCCCACTGGAGAATGTCGAGAGCGCCCAAACACTGTCATTTAGATTTCCGTATCATTTGGCCTCTACTATCCAATATTTATCAATTAATTTGTTCAATTTAAGATGAACAACCACGTTATCAGTGCTGGGAAACCAGGGTGATAACGTGATTGTTTCTCGCTTATGGTGCAAATATGGATATCATGGCTTTTATATGTGAACAGTTTACAGTTTTACTGCATACCAAAAAGTCATTTTCTCCGGTCTGTATTTGCAGGCTTCAAGCGAATAATTGAGTAGAAAAGTGATGATAAGTTTGAAATACAGGTGTTTGTGTTCTTTTGCTTTCAAGGTGAAACATAGGGCATCAGGCCACAAGATTTAAAATTCCAGTAGAGCCTGTGTGGCACTAATCGGGTAGATTTGCTAGCCTCGCGCCAAACCGCTACTCTTTTCAGGGCGGGCATTCTTCCCCGAAACCATCAACTCAGAAAATAGGAACACGTCCAACACATCACTGTTCCCTACAATTTATTTTTCAACAGTCCTAATCCTCAAAGCTCTATTCATTCGTGTATTCGGAAATGAATAATAGAATAAAAATATTTTTGAGGCTGTGCCATTTTCGAAAATGATCATAAAAAAAGATATAAGAAATGCGCATACCTTGCATTAGACTGATTCCAATTCGCCCTTCTATTTGTTTTATTTTGCAAGCAATATCTAAATATTCAAGTCACAGTATGATATATTTTATAGATTATAACTCACATTTATCAATAGACAGTTGGCCAGGTGACAATCTAATATTGACGTCTTCTGTAGACAATAAGAGAGAAAACATAAAATTAGTCATTGTTTTATAAAGTAGTGTATCATTTTCGTTTGACAAAATGCAGAATTACAGAAATGGAGATGTAATCTGATTGAATCCAGAATACTCAATTTGTCCTAATCATCGCTTGTCAAACGCCCGTGCTTGTATTCTCCAGTGAGTGACGAAGTTCTCTTTGGGACTTGAACTCAGGCAAGGCGTTATCCAGTAGGCCACTGTTATGATAAATATTAGTTTCCAACTGACAAAACCCTCATGAACAGAGATATCGTGATTGTTGATCCTAGTCTACACGATGTGTGCAGATTTCTTCAGAGAAAAAAACCCGAGCCAGCTAACCAGACCGAAGTTGGGGAAAATGTGTATTCTGGATTTCGGTGCTGACCATCATCAAACAAATTGCATTGTCTTTACCTTCACATTTCGTCGGAGCATCCGTACTTAAAGCCGACACGTCAACAGACACTGAGCATTAAGGTGCGGCATAAATCACACAGTGGAGGAGTACAACGTAGATGAGTGGAAATTTTCCATTATTATTGTTTATTTGTAGGCGGATATAGTACAGGACGACTTTTATCAAGATCAGTTATAGTTTTCCCAGAGAATGATTCTGTTCACACGAATTAAACCAAAAGATCGGTGAATAGGTTTATTTGCTATTCGTCACCGAGGAAGAAGGCTATCATCGAGGTGATCCATTAAATTCTGATGTCTTCGATTCGACTGGCAGCTTTCAGAGAGGGACGAACCAAATAAATGACTCAATATTCTTGCCATTTTATTCCTCTAGAAACTTGAGTAGTTATCAAGAGATCTGAGTGCTATGCAACTTACTCGTTCATGGTACTCACAATCTGACCTGGAAACGGCAACGCATATACCAAATATTTTCGAGTGTTGATCTGCAGTGGTTTACCAAACTTCAAGCCTCAGGAAGTGAAACCAGTTAGGAAACTACTGCAAAAACCAAGCAATACTGGACAGTTGTTTTGTCCTACTTCGTGACTCTTTATTGGTGGCTCTCTTTGTCCATCATCCAACACAATTACAACCGAATCCATGGCCTTCAGATTCCCAGTATATCTCGTAGATCATCAGAAGGCCACTAGAACAGAATACTGTGAATTCTAAATCCTACACATTTCTGACATGTTTTGTCACAGGCAGTCTTCTTCAACGACGAATATCCTAAAAGAAAGATTAGGAGAGTCGGGCACTGCATTAGAGCATAATTCCATACTACACAAGTTCATTTCGGACAGTCAACGTCGTAGACCCCATTTATCACGATTTCTCACTAGAATTTCAGGCAACTCCATCCCACAGTCCACCAATTGTGACCATTGGAATAAATTTCAAATGCTGGTTTGCTGGGCCTTAACCGATTTCAAGTTTAATCGGAATGTTGATTTCAAGATTACAGAAGAGTGACTTTGCTTATCATAAACACGTAAACGACAATGTGAACATTAAGCAAACCATAATTAGTGCAAGTTAATAGTGTCAAATTATGCGTCAAGATTAGGCGAAAGAATAACCATTCTAAATTACCTATTTGGTTTGGTATTACTTTCGTTAGATCCGCCATAGTCGCATTGTTCTCCTTCAAACTTTCTACAGTATCAGAATAATACGGAGTTCAGTTGAAGTGGACTTTACATTTTCAAATAACATATGCTTGATTCTAGTTCTTTTATAACATTATCGATAGGTGACAAATTGGATTTAGGTAATATGAGGCAACTTTATTACTGCATTATGCAAATGACTGACAACTTGTCTGTCCTTATGTGCATCACTGCTGTTATTCAAAGCAGTTATCCTCATACAGACTGTACTCCGGTGGTTCACTGGTAAGATACTCGCAAATTACGCACGTCGTTCGGATTCGATTCCCGTGTGATGCACTCCCTTAACCGGTAGTAAGCCCAGTAAGTATGGAAGGCTGGGCGTGAGGCTAGCAATCTCATTCTGCAGAACAACAGTCTACGCTATTGAGACTCCAGATCTCAGGCTTAAACCAAGAGAATGGAAAGTTAAGAAAACAAAGGGTCTATAAATATTTCCGCCCTACAAATATATACTAAAGTGTGAATACTATAAATAGAGAATCTTGAAAGCTTATTCATGACATGAATAAATATCTATCTGATAGCTTATTTCAAATTTACCTGCATTTCGAGTTAATCTTTTTTTTATCCACGATAATTTGTGTTTGATATACCTCAAGTCTATATGAAGAGAAAAATTTCGTATTAATCACTTTCTGTAATAATAAAATGTACGTATTTCAGAATACTTAGAATCATGATACATTCAGTGGTGACTTCAGCATGCAGATTAGGTTTCAAAATAATTCTCAGATGTGTGAGAAGTTAACTGACGTTCACACTTAGCAATCAGCTTTTTGTGAGGCATAAATCGAAGGTGATTAGAGTATTTCTAGCGCTAGGGTTCGACACAATCATCAAAGAGCGATCCAATTTTGTCTTTGTCCTTTTGATTGGAATACTGATCAAGCGGATGCTCAAATAGTGTATGTGATCTCTGCAGTTGAACGACCTCACAGTGAAGTAGTGAATGGTTGGATTAAGGTCCAGGCTTTAAGTGAATGTTTCTGGAGTCCAAATTCGACTTTACCTACTTCTGTTTGTATATCTGGGTAGAATCATCAGTCCTGAAAACAAATGGAGATAGTGACCTGCCACATGAAATTTCTATTCAGTGTGTTACGACGTCCTAATCTTTCGTCATACACAATAACATATCTGGATTTCAAACGAAGGATGGAGACTATTCGAGACGAGACTAACGAGACTATTCGTCAGCTAGATGTGGTAGTGTTCACACTCAAAATCAGATGCGACTCACTTGTTCCACATATCAAAGCGTTACCCACTAGATCACTCGAGCCATGAAAGCCATCATTTTTATAACCAGGATAAGATTTCATGTTCGTCTAACGTCTTGCTATTTGAAACGATGGGTGCTCGGTGGGGTGCGAACAACACCACTTACTCAAGAATGCTCACGAGTCCTAAATTAGGCAAAATACGCATTCTGGATTCTGGAGCTAGCATATATCTGCCAAATTACATCCTGTTAATACTGAAACATCTTCGAAGCGTCTATATTGCTAGCCGTCATGTCAATGGAGACCGAACGTTTCGGTTCGATCAATAAGTGGAAACAATAAAAATTCACTTATTCCAAAATAATTTCTGAGCTTTGTTAGTTATATTCTGTGAGGCTTATTTTCAACAAAATACCTACCTGACAGTAGCAAATAAAACTTAACAAATTGTAAGATGATTTATTGATCAGTTAAATATCTTAGACAAATTAAATTAGATGATAATGTACATTCAATACGTAAATGATCATGAAACGTAAAATGAAACTCACCGTCCTGTGTGGATTGTTGAACATGAAGAAGAATGGAAAATGAGATGAACAGTACGAAGCAACGCATGTTGTAGTTTGTTCTGAACGTATACAAATATGTTTACATGTACATATATGTATATATATATATATGCTGATGACTAGAGCAGACAGCAATGCACTGAGTAGTAGACACCCCATAGTATCAAATCAGATTTGAAATCAAAAAAGCTGTTTTGCATTGTCCAACCAAATTGCGACTACTTGAATTATTTGTGCTGATTAGACGAAGTGAAAATGGCCGTACTTTTCTAAACAAAATTCCACTAGGTGAGACGATAACTCTCAGAAAAATAAATCAATGCGACAGTGTCTAGTGCATAATTCAAGTCGAATGTCAAGTTTGATGAGTTTGGTGAAGACAATCGTCAGATTTTTGTACATTTGTGTATTTATTCTTGTGTTGTCAAAACCCTTAAAGCAACAGTAAAACTGAGCGAAAGCGTTTTTGATATGGTTGCGTTCTCTGAGCTGGTTAGTTTAATCACGGTGCTTTCGGTCTCCATCTAGATAACAGCATCAGCGCGAACTTCAACATGAATAAAATTTTACACATGGATTATAATTGAGCAAGTTGGCACTAAACACTGCAAGTTTCTGCATCCAACATACAAAGAATAACAAATTTGACATGACGGCGTGCAAGCTTGCGACACATTCTTATACATACACTTTGACTATCCAGTTGAAATTGTAGGCTATGCTGACTCATAAACCTACTGGGAACTGGAGAAAATGATACCAGCAGGTGAGTGGTATGAAGCGAATTAAACTAAGACGATTGCTTTAGAAATGTCGCCTCATCCTGTTTCTTACTTCAAACACGAATAATTACAACCAACAGTAAAGTGCTTCCAATAAATTCTTCTTCGCGACCTTCACTTATCAATCCATTGATTTTAACCTATACCTGCTAGTCAAAGTGAATCGGATTGATGTCAGGAACTGCATTGTGCTACAAGTACAAAATAATATAAAAACCATTCAGTTTGGATTACAATTGCAAAGGCATGTAAACTATGTTTAGTCAATAAGAAAGGACACGAGGTAAAATGAAATGAAATAATTCAGTGATGCATCTGTACAATCGTGACCAACAAATTATCAGTTTCAAGGGATGTTGTGGGGAGAGAGGCAGTGAGGATGCTGCAGGAAAATTAACGAACAAATAAAATGCAGTGAGCCAGTGGGCATAAGTTCGATGCATGTCAAATAACGGTAATAATGGTGAATTAAATAAGCACGGTATGGTGTAAACACAGGAGTATTATTGCTGACCGATTATTAGATAATGACGACTTCAAAAGAGCAGAGAGACACCGTATTACGTGAACACAACAACACGTGTGAAGAGTGTTACGCAAACGAAGAGTTAGTTTTCGAAACTGTCAAGGGTATGAAATAAGAGGTTGCAAGCGAAACAAACGGAAAGAGGACAACAGTGTGATTGGTACTTAAATTGTTGCCTGTCAATGTTTGTAGAAGCCTGCTAAACTTCACTGTGCGTCAGTGGTAAATAAAGCTGTCAGACTTACCTCTTCTGGATATAGTGATTGGGTTTTCTAGTATCGACTGCCACAGCTTCAGCTACTGATTGGAGACATCATGGGATTCCTCTGTATAGATTCTTGTACACATGGTGGTTGTCGTCAAAATGGATGTTCAATAATTGTGGAGCCTGAAGGAGAATTTATTCATGTTGTTATTGTTCTTTTAGGTTCCTAGTGGAGCATAGGGCTTCAACAGCACATTTCGACTCTGTCCTGTTCTCTGCTGTCCTATTCAGTTGGCTCCACGACTCAACATAATCTCGCAAGTCATCCAACTCGCACGATATTCTCATTGTCAACATCAGACGGCTATCTCGTCTCAGCATTTGAATTTGACAGTGAAAATAGTTGACTGATTTTGTTTCTCATCACCTTAGCATATTTGTTGAGCGGTAATTTCTACATTGGTCCGTTCCCACAGTTCCTTGTTGGTAATTCTTTCTGACCGGCTGGCCATTTGATTTTGAACATGGAGCCAGCGTAGCGTGAAGCTGTAGATTAGAGTCATCAGTAGCCTGTTGGAAGTGATTTTCGTGACGCACTGGCCAAGTTTCTGAACCATTTAGAAGAACCGAATGACTGACTGACTGACCGATCGATCGACTTAAGATTGGCATTGAAAATCCGACTTTTCTCCCACAAACTGATTGCAAAAGATTTTCAAATTGGTTTCTCAGCGTTGAGGGTCAGTGTTGTCCTTCCGATTCTGGCTGGTGTTGACATCGTCATCCATGCCGACTGCCTGTAGTTGAAACGATACTTCCCAGATAGGTGAAGGGAGGAAGTGAGCTCTTTCGAATTCATTCCCTAGATAGTGATTGGTGCTGGTTGAGGTTGTTTCGGTTGTTGTTAGTAGTGGTGGTTGTGGTGTTAGTGGTTTTCGATATTCATCACCTTCATCTTCTCTATGTTCACTTGAAATCCTGCCCGTTGAACACGACAACATTCCAATTTAATTAGCCTCATTATGAATAGATTATTGGCATATTCAAGTTATTCTTCATTTGTCTGACAACTTTCATTCCCCACTTGAATACATAAACATCATCACAGTTAAAACAGTGTCTCTTCTGATATTTGAATATCATGTAACCACACAGTGTTAAATGCAATATGAAATTATATAATCCATAATTTTGCGCATCTCTTGGACTTCACTCACTCAGTTAGAGTGAAACGTGTTGCATATTGAATCGAGGAGAAGTAGTCTACCGAGCACATATGCTTCATCCATTATCTCTATGCAACGAAGAGTTCATTGTACAGTAAGTTGAATCGCATTGGTAAAGAATTCTCAAAATCCGGACTTCCAAATATTGATTTTTTAATTTACATTGCCATTACTGTTTGCATTTGTTCCATCGTTCTTTCTAAAATGAATATGTGTGTCTGCTTATTTTTACAGAATAACTGCATCACTTGGAAATTGTTATTTCTTATCATCACTAAATGACTTTTGAGAGGAAACAGTGTTGAGCGACAAGCTCTTACCTTGAAAATAAACACATTCTTTGACTATTATTAATATTTATTTTTTTTAATGTTGGTATTAATTTCACTGTAACCATTCACTTCCTCTGAAATGATGCTCTTTTAATTTATTGTGTAACAATTAACGTTTGAAATATTTAGGTGTGAATGCGAAATAATAAAAGCCTGTAACTATCAACTACTTTTACTTTTGCTATTCATTTCTCGATATCTGAGTGGGAGATGGAATTTCAGCGACACATCTCCATCCCATCAATCTCGATTGGCCCCACTACTGATTGCTCACATGCTTTCACTTTCAAGTTATGCGATTTCCTCCATGTCACTCTCGCAAACAACGCGCCTCTCACCATTTGGTTTCCAGCTGACGGCCGACAGTGGTGTGATGTTACTTCAGTGTTTCCTCAGTAGATATCTAATCCGTCTGCATTTGCTTCTGCATAGTTTATTGGGCAGTATGTTGTTGGTTGATGAGCTGCTGCGGGTGGGTTTCCTCATCGCACAATCATTCCTAGCTGGCGGCTTCACCTTCATTATCGAAGCAGCGAAGTTGGCAGATGTTGATGGAAGTGTGAGGTTGCCAGATAGAAATGCTGCGTTTTCCAAAAGCATCTCATCAGTGAAACCTGCATGAGCAAAGTTACAGTATGTGAATCTGTGAAAGTGACTTTCGAAACAAGCGGTTTGAAAATGTGGTGGGAAGTTTACCACTTTTGGTGATTATCGGTGGTCACTTCTTGTAAATAACGAGTGAATCTCGTTGAGCGTGTATAAATCATCGTCGGTAGACATTGAAGTTTATTTGGTTTACTGACCATTCTCCACTTCATCCAAAGGGTCACGTGAACGAGTCATCACACTGATGTAGTTTCGAGAAGCACATGCAGATCAATCTCAGTGTAGGGCTCTCCACAAATCAACGTCAGTTAGACAATCGATCAGAAGTATTCATATCTGAAGACATTCAGACTAGGACAACATATCCACTGAGTGGTTTCTGGTGTCTAGTGTGTCTATAACTGATGTTGGTTGATAGCAAATTCTACATAGAAATTGATCCGCATCACTCAACAATGCATCGTCTGAAATGAACATTGGATTTTGTAGACAAACAGTCACTGCTTATCATTATTGACTTGGATTCTGAGTGTGATGTAGGGCTCCAGATGTGTATCACCACCTCACAATGATGGCTGCAGGCTTTCTCGCCTGATATCACAACTGCCTTTTACTCGTCCTCACAAGATTTCTTCCACATCACACTCAGACATACAATTCATCATTTACTATTCAGGTTCTCACTCGAGGGACTAGAGTGTGATGTCACTCAACGTTCTTGTAGCTGGATGATGAATCCATCTCTATTTTTATGTGTATATTTGTTGGGTAGTAGGTGGTCGAGAGGTTCTTTCCTAGATTACCTTTCGATTATAAATTAACGTGCTCATAAGTGCCGCCATATTTAGCAGAAACAATGCAATCATTACTAGTAAATATCCTATTCATACCATTGCTACTGGTTACATTACAATGTGAGCTACTGGTCTGATGAACATTTGAAAAGCTGCGAAATAGCTGAAAGAAAGTATCTCACGGTTTGTAGATTTCAGTACAAATTACCGCTTGAATGTAACATAATGTCAGTCACAGTGAGACACAAACAGTTAAGGGATTGAAGCAACATTTATTGTACATCTGTCTGAAATTGTCAGCTCTACAGATCAAGTGAGAAAACGGAGACAATATGCAAGTTCGTCAACTGCAGCTGCACCACCGTCAATACAGCCACACTCAACACTCAACATCTCATTCTAAACAATACTGCACACCATAATTTCTGTTTTCGTTGGATAGATAAACATTACACACCAAAGTGAGGAGAAATCAGTGTGTGCTACAAATTATTACATCATTGTTGTACAAGTGAAGAAATGTGAGATCACGAAGTGCTTTGTATTCACACTGACACAGAACAAGATGATTTCAATGGCTAATTAGAAAATTTGAAGCGGAAGAGATCCAAGCAAAAGTCACCTCATATTTTGTTAGTTGAAAACAACATTCCACTGAAAAGAATGTTCCAGTTGACATATGCACGAGAAGATGGTAA